AGTGTTTGGCTGGGTGGCCGCTGTTAGTATGCACAAACACGTGGCGGCGGCCATCTTGCTCTCACAAACACAGGCAGCGATGTTTGGTCGTCGAGTGCATGGAACTAAAATCGGACACTCAACCTCTCGAACACCGCTGAACTTCCATCCTTTCTGCGTTCGTTTCTTTACATTCTGAAAGAGTACTGTTCAGTGGAATCATTTGCATGGATTAGGTGAACACTATCTGCCTATGCTGCAGCAAGGAGTATATTAAACAAATGAACTTAAATGAAAAGGTAATGCATTTGGCATTTACCCTTTCGTTTTCTATATAATTCGTATGTAGGACTTTCGATTATCTTATAGGAAATTAATACGAAAAAGTCAGAAAATTCGCACAAAGGAGGAATTTACTTAGGGTCCAAGACTTACCCTAATGTTGGTTTGTTTAACTTTCACTGGTGGGTTGTAGCTTGTCTATGTCACTTATCACTAGAATAAGGGCCTGCACATGTTGAGCCAAACAGCTTCATATCATTAATTGGTGCTTCTAAGATCCAAAGATGTCAAGTCTCCCAATATTCACTAGACACATATGTAATAAATACAGGAGCACAATATCCTTAAAACACAGACTTTAATAGGAACTCAGAGTTTCACTGATAATATTTTGACGGCACAATGTAGGATTTGTTAAAGACCACAGTGTGCAGCAAAAGCATTATCAATGTAACTAGGGTTTCTTATTAATGTTTGTGATGTAAGAATTATCACTTCTAACATAATGAGTAGAAATTCGGCATGTGCCTCAGCTGCCACAAATGAGGCAATCGAATGTAGAGATCACCCAATAAAACGTTTCTCATAGGGGAGCATTAGACTAAAGAAGAGAATATTTTCTTTTTTTATTTTGATGTAGCCGAGGAATGTGTGTCTTTTTGGCATTCATAGACCTTCGGCTTCTCTTGTGTAAACTCATTAGCCATACTCCTAATAAATTACTAAACCTTTTCCTCAGTAAGAAATAGTATTAAATTTATGTTCACAATTGAAATGGATGATACATTTTTCAAGATTAAAAATTCAGGTATTAAAATATTTCAGAAATATAGAAATATGTATAAATGGGTGAGTTATTAAAACGTACTCTCTAGCAAAGATTAAGGAACTGCAACTGAACATAATAATTTTTTTTACAACTTTCTGTTAGTTGTTGAAGTATATTAGTAGTATATTATAGTATATCAATATTATATTAATTTCTGCTAATCTCAGCCTGCAACTTGTTGTTTTTTGTCAGTTAAAATATTACGGGTGATTAACTAAGGTAAGAGCCAATATGTAAATACTTTTGGTCTGATGATTTTCATCCTTTACCTCCTTTGTAGGATATGCTGAAAGTCAACCAGACAGTGGTGACAGAATTCCTGCTTTTGGGATTTCAGAACCTCAGGATATTTAACATTATATTATATTTTCTATTTCTTGTAATCTACATATTGACATTGGGATTCAATCTTCTGATTATTTCATTGGTAGCAAAGTTTAAGAATTTAAAATCTCCTATGTATTTTTTCCTCAGTCACTTATCACTTTCTGATATCTTACTCACCACAAATATAACTCCAAACATGCTCCAAATTTTAATTAATAGAGCAAGCACAATATCCATTAAAGGTTGCATAACACAATTTTATTTCTATGGTGCATCAGCAACAACTGAGTGTCTTCTTCTTACAATGATGTCCTACGACCGATATGTAGCCATCTGCAATCCATTGCATTACACGTCTGTCATGGACCCCAGGCTTCCTCACCATCTTGCTCTATGGTCATGGATTTTATCATTAACAATATCATTAGTTATTGCTTGTCTAATACATACATTAGTATTCTGCGGTCCCCATGTAATTGACCATTATTTCTGTGATTTTGCCCCCCTTGTGGAGTTATCATGTTCTGATTCTACTGTAGTTGAAATGGTAGATTTTATATTGTCAGTACCACTTGTTATTTTTCCTTTGTTCTTCATCATTTATACATATGTTACCATTTTTATCACCATCTTAAGAATTCCCTCAAACAGTGGGAAACAGAAAGCTTTCTCCACCTGTGGCTCTCACTTGATTGTAGTGAGCATGTACTATGGGACTCTGATTACAATATATATGACTCCTTCTAAAGGGCAATTGTTTAATGTAAATAAGATTATATCACTGTTATATACCACGGGAACTCCATTAATCAATCCAATTATTTATAGTCTAAGGAATCAAGAGATAAAGAAAGCCTTAATTAAATATTTGAAATAGCATGAATTAATAAAAAACAAAAAACAAACAGCAGTAAACAGCACAGTCTAATCATGTTTATTCATTTTAACAGTTGAGTTTTAGTGTGTTACTGTTTTATTTCTAATTTAATTATTGTAATATAATATAAACTTTCAGCAACAGAGAGAGATACAACTTTAACAATGACTTAATCTATAAAAAAAATATTAAAGCTCATTTTCCACAAAAGCTTGGCTGCTCAAAGTTCAGCTATAGATTCATCACAACAAAAGTTTTTATTTTTTTTCCATTAAAATAGCTGGCTTAAGAAAATGTTGGGTATTTACTAAAATAACTAAAAATATACTGTCACATTGTCACAGTGGGTCAAATCAACTTCAAAATATCTGACTTGACATTACAAGTCTAATATAATTAATATTAATAATAACATTAAAAAAAATTGAGCATAAATTGTAGTTTACTAGATTCTATAAGACGCCAAAAGAAAAATAAATGAAAATACATCCACACGGTATAGTTACTATTTAGCTACTATTGTGACACTCTGAAGACAATCACATTAACCTGAGGGAACAACACTTTCCAAATGAACATTTGGCTGACCTGAAAGTCAATCAATCACAAATCATGGAATAACTATCCTTGGAATATGCCAAACACCTAAAGTACTGTTGATTGCTTAGGGGCTCAATGTGTGAAGCAGGTGTCCTTTTTTATTTTATAAAAGGTGCAAAATTCTGTTCTCAAATGATTTAACACCAAATGTTGCCTCCTGCTCTGGATCTCCCAATTCCCCCAGCCGCATCCTACTTCTGAAATTGAGCTTCAGGATGTGAGGAATGGCACCAGGCATGGGCACTTCTGATTGGCTAGAGTCAACAGCTTACATTCTAAGCCGTTCAGAAGTACATACCTTGGAAGATGCCTCTTGAAGTTTGAGGTTTCCAGAGGAACCAGGGGGATAGTACACTATGTGTAGTGTCAGATATTTTGTGGGAAAAATCAATGCTATATATTACAAGTCACTGTTTAGCAATAGCGACTCCATTTTGTTTGCTAGCAGCTTATAAAAGATATATATTTTTTTCTTTTTGTTCATTCAGTGAAAAGGCAAGGCTTGTATACAGCCTGATTGTAAACTGGGAAATGTAAGTTTGTATAAACACTTACACTAACTAACTAAGATCTAATGTGAGATAAGGTGTTTTCTTAACAGTACATTACTAGAATCAATGTGCTAGTAAGGATGTGGGGATGAGAAATGCCCATACTTAAAATATATACCTGCAGAGGACTAAATAATTGCAAGAATGAGAGCCAAAACCACCTTGAAATTCAGCATATAATAAGCAGGAAAAAATTTAAAGTTTGAATTTTCTGATTCCGTACCTTTAATCCCTTAAGGACCAAACTTTTGGAATAAAAGGGAATCATGACATGTCACACATGTCATGTGTCTTTAAGGGGTTAAATATTTTTGCATGCTCCGTTTAACTGAGAACGCATCTCCACCATCTTGGATACTGGCGAACTTTGGGCTATTTGTGGCAACGCTATTGTGCAAGTGCCTGAATGCCAGGATTTGTCTGAACAATGTTGGTGCCTAAACAGACACTTCCAGCTTGTTCTGGCCGAAACCCAATGGTATTCATCTCTGCAGAGGGCAGGCAGGAGAACTGATATCAGCCAGGTAGGTAGCTGGCAGAGCTACTAAGCTGTCCCCAGCTACCAAGAAGGTGGATTGCATGCACCTGGAGCTTCCGGGAGAGGGAGGCTGACCTCTCCAGGGATATAAACTGTAAGACTACAGTGAGGGGAGCAAAAAAAAAAATTAGAAAAATAAACCAACTGTCCTACGGCTAAGAGGACAGGAAAAAAAAACTGGTGTGTGGCGTCTGCTGGGATTCCCTTATACCTACCCACTTAAGAATGTAATTGTTTTTCCTGCCCTATTGGATAGAGGGAGGTGCAAACCCATAGGTTAAATACTGCCATGATTAGCCAGGAAATAGTTATCATCTTGATTATATACATAAGATATTCTACCTTCATAATTTTTATATATTCATGATCGAATTTTGAATATATATTTTTTAAATGCCAACATTTAAACATGCATTTATATTTTAAGGACATATTATGCTAATACACATAAATTCTAACAATATGGTCAACATAACCAAAATCCAGACACAGATAAGCTAATGTGCAATTGTCTTGTAAGATATATTCATTTTCTGATCAATTCATTAATCCATGAGAGGAATCTACACTTAAAGGACCACTATAGGCAGCAAGACCACTTCAGCTTAATGAAGTGGTCTGGGTGCCAGGTCCAGCTAGGGTTAACCCTTTTTTTTTATAAACATAGCAGTTTCAGAGAAACTGCTATGTTTATAATAGGGTTAATCCAGCCTCCAGTGGCTGTCTCTTGACAGCCGCTAGAGGCGCTTGCGTGCTTCTCACTGTGATTTTCACAGTGAGAAGACACCAGCGTCCATAGGAAAGCATTATGAATGCTTCCCTATGGACTGGCTGAATGCGCGGGCAGCTCCTGCCGCGCATGCACATTCAGCCGAAGAGGAGGAGAAGAGGGAGGAGAGGAGGAGTAGAGCTCCCCGCCCGGCGCTGGAGATAGAGGTGAGTTTAACCCCTTCCTCTCCCCAAGCCCGGCGGGAGGGGGACCCTGAGGGTGGGGACACCCTCAGGGCACTATAGTGCCAGGAAAACGAGTATGTTTTCCTGGCACTATAGTGGTCCTTTAATAGATATTTCTACAATGTCCCATATCAGCCTCAAAGGACCACTATAGTGCCAGGAAAACATACTCGTTTTCCTGGCACTATAGTGCCCTGAGGGTGCCCCCACCCTCAGGGACACCCTCCCGCCCGGCTCTGGAAAGGGGAAAGGGGTTAAAACTTACCTTTTTCCAGCGCTGGGTGGAGAGCTCTCCTCCTCCGATCCTCCTCTTCTCCTCATCCTGGGCTGAATGCGCACGCGCGGCAAGAGCTGCGCGCGCATTCAGCCCGTCGCATAGGAAAGCATTCTCAATGCTTTCCTATGGACGCTTGCGTGCTCTCACTGTGAAAATTACAGTGAGAAGCACGCAAGCGCCTCTAGCGGCTGTCAATGAGACAGCCACTAGAGGATTAGGGGGAAGGCTTAACCCATTCATAAACATAGCAGTTTCTATGAAACTGCTATGTTTATAAAAAAATGGGTTAACCCTAGAAGGACCTGGCACCCAGACCACTTCATTAAGCTGAAGTGGTCTGGGTGCCTAGAGTGGTCCTTTAAGGTGAATCAGAGTCCATATATGTCAGAATTGGACATTTAAGTTCAAACAGTCAACTAAATGTCTACCAAAAGCTTCAGAGCTTTGACAGGTTTCCATGATTGAAAGACTATTAATGTGCTAGTTTTTCACGTTATCATTTTTATTATTTTTTTACATTTTTCTAAATAAACTGCCATTTCACCATTGATAACATCTGCATTATATTTTTATATTGCTCTTAAACACTCATATTTGCGTTCAATAATGTCTCACAAATGCAACAGTACTCCTCATGTCCATGTTTCATGGAGTTTTGGAAAGTTAAGGGGTTTAATATAAGGCTTGCCCATTTCCGTTTTTGCACATAAAATTTTTCCAGATTAGTAATGTTGCCTTTCAGACCGTATGGTAGCCCAGCAATGAGAATTACCCTCACCATGATATACCATTTGAAAAAGTAGACAATCCAGGGTAATAAAAAAATGGGGTATGTCCAGTCATTTCTAGTAGCAACTTAGTCACAAGCGCTGGCCAAAATTAGCATTCAAGTTAGATTTTTGCATTTTCCACACAAAAACTGCACTTTTACTGTTGATATCATCGTTGTGATATGTTTTATGGTTCTGAAAAACTAATATTTGTGTTCAACAAAGTCTCCAAAGTATAACAGTACCTTAATGTACAGGTTTTACTGGTGTTTGGGAAAGTTATAAGGTTGAATATGGGGCTTGCAAATGAAATTCTCAGAACTTTCTACATAGGTTGTCAGGCAGGTCCCTCAAATTGTAATTAACAAAATCACATAATTCTATAAAAAGATTACATAAATATACACATAGAATTTAAATATATATATATATATACATATCGCAAACTTACCTTTAACTGGCGCCTGCACCACTCCTCACCTCGGGCCACGCGGACAGAATGCACTGTGTGACCGCATTTCCTCAGTCCTCGGGCCTTATGGCCCGAATTCTCCATGTGGCCGCGTGGCCTGAATAGAATGCTCACCTTAGGTTCCACGAACAGCTCCCTCTACTGGTTCGCGTTACGAACTGCAACCCCTAAAAATAACATATAAAGCCATGACAGCATTACCTCAACCCCTTAAGGACACATGACATGTGTGAGATGTCATGATTCCCTTTTATTCCAGAAGTTTGGTCCTTAAGGGGTTAAAGGGACCACGTCATTTAGGCGACCCAATGCTCTTTCCGCTCCCAGAGATGACGTGGACCAATGGGAACTCTTTTGAGCCTATTTAAGGCTTGTTTTATCATCCATTCTTTGCCCTATCATGGTTTCTGTTAGATCCTTGTTTAGTGCTCCTGGAGATTTCCTTGTGATTTCCTGCATTTTACCTCGGCTTCGTATTTGAACTATGATTTCTGGTATTCTGACCTCGGCTTCGCATTTGACTTGTGATTTCTGGTATCCTGACCCAGCTTTGTCTTGACTCTGACTATTTTTGTAATTCTAACCTTGATTTATCTTGACCCTGTTTCTTGTTGCTTTAATAGAAACATAGAAACATAGAATGTGACGGCAGATAAGAACCATTCGGCCCATCTAGTCTGCCCAATTTTCTAAATACTTTCATTAGTCCCTAGTCTTATCTTATAGTTAGGATAGCCTTATGCCTATCCCATGCATGCTTAAACTCCTTTACTGTGTTAACCTCTACCACTTCAGCTGGAAGGCTATTCCATGCATCCACTACCCTCTCAGTAAAGTAATACTTCCTGATATTATTTTTTAAACCTTTGTCCCTCTAATTTAAGACTATGTCCTCTTGTTGTGGTAGTTTTTCTTCTTTTAAATATAGTCTCCTCCTTCACTGTGTTGATTCCCTTTATATATTTAAATGTTTCTATCATATCCCCCCTGTCTCGTCTTTCCTCCAAGCTCCTTTAACCTTTCCTGGTAAGTTTTATTCCACAATCCACGAACCAGTTTAGTAGCCCTTCTCTGAACCCTCTCTAAGGTATCAATATCCTTCTGAAGATACGGTCTCCAGTACTGCGTACAATACTCCAAGTGAGGTCTCACCAGTGTTCTGTACAATGGCATAAGCACTTCCCTCTTTCTACTGCTAATACCTCTCCCTATACAACCAAGCATTCTGCTAGAATTTCCTGCTGCTCTATTACATTGTCTGCCTACCTTTAAGTCATCAGAAATAATCACCCCGAAATCCCTTTCCTCAGATGTTGAGGTTAGGACTCTATCAAATATTCTGTACTCTGCCCTTGGGTTTTTACGTCCAAGGTGCATTATCTTGCACTTATCCACATTAAATGTCAGTTGCCACAACTCTGACCATTTTTCTAGTTTACCTAAATCATTTGCCATTTGGCTTATCCCTCCTGAAACATAAGTGCAAGATAATGAATTTGAATTTTGGAAGTACCGAACCGAAACCTAAGTGCCAAAGTCCCGGATTTCAGAAGTGCCGAACCGAACCAATTTCTTTGCCCATGCACATCCTTTGTTATTTGAAATTTATGGCCAAGAAAATTGACTCTTTACCATCTTAAGTTTAAAGAGAAAATGTATTGACTGGGTATAGACCCTGTGTGGCGAAAGCTGTCTGCAAATGGTTAATAAAAGTACAAGACAAAAATTTAGGGGAAAAGTCTGTTTTATAAAGGGACCCTTTCTTTCTAAAATAAAATAAAAAAGGTGTTTAAAGTTTAATAAGATGATTGAGAGAATACAAATAAAAATAAGTAGAAAATAAGATAGAAAATAAAATGTTATGCCTTAAAAATGTATTCAGTATGGATGCAGTGACTATGTGTTAATGTGTGGCTTGGATATCCATTGTATGCAGATATAATAGTGTGCAGCTTAACTGGCAAGGAGAATAGTTGTTATGGAGAATTTGGAGAATTACTGTTACTGTGTTGTTTTAATGCATATAGGTTATTAGTTTATCATAGTTTATAGATATAGACAGAGATTCCAGCCTAATTACCTATTAAATAACAGTTCCACATATTTAGGCTGTTGAATACTATGATTATTACTTATTTTAATTGTTGCTTAAGTGCAGTGGGAGTTGAAGTACAGATCTTCATTCTGTGTGTAACACTTTACTATGATAAGGAATTATGCTTTTCCCCAGTTACATACTACAAGTTTGCCATGTTTTGGGTTCAGTATTTTTTCACTTTTGTTTAACCCATTCTCGAACACGGATGTATCAGGTACGTCTGACAAAAGCGGTCTTTAAGGACCGTGGACGCACCTGATACGTCCATGGCTAATTAGGGGTCTTTTTTGTGTTTGACGTCTTCACCCTCTTCTCATGTTCCTTGATAGGGTCTGTGTTTGGTATGTATATATTTTTTGGTTCAGTATCTTATACAGGTATCATAACATTGCTCTGTTGCATCAATGGTTAAACCACATATTGCTGATTATTTAGATCAGAATTTTACTATTTGTGATCCCTTTTTTCTTTTGGTTCTAATCATTGCTTAAATATTGGGTAGACATGTTTAAGTATATTAACATTCTATGATGTCCTTGTTGATACCTGATATATGTGTACCTGTACAATAAAGTTTTTTGCATTTTTAATTGGTTGTGCTCCTCCTTTCATTATTAGAGGGCAAAAATATGACAGCTTTCCTGGGAGTCTTTATAGCTGCCACAATGCACACAATGATCATGAGTAGAAAGGTAGTAAGGAGGATTGTTAGTCCTGTACTGGCGATCTCCTTGGTGGGTTTTGCCTACTTGGGTACATAGATGTGTCCGTGCATCTCTTCTTGGAGGGTTGTTTCCACTTCTGTCTTTAACCCCTTAAGGACACATGACAGAAATATTCTGTCAGGATTCCCTTTTATTCCAGAAGTTGTGAAGTATGGTAAGTATTGTGGATGTCCGCACCAAGCGTGTCCAGGAAGGAGGCCTCAAGCTTCCCCAGCATATTCACCAAAACACTCTTTCATTGGAGGTTGGCTGCAAGGACTGCTCCTGCATTAGGACAGTCATGTTGCTGCATGGTCTGGGTATTGATTGTAGCTATCTTTGAAGTATTTGGTAAGTGAGGTCTATTTATTTGATGGTGTCCTAGAGGGCGTGTTGTGGGAGCCTTGGGACTTCTTTGGATTGCCCGTAGAGTTATTTGAGCCTTGATATTTAGGGATTTTTGCTTCTGGTGCGTGGAGCTGAGGGAGCATGTGGCCATTCAGTATAGTGGCTAGCCAAATCTTACTCTTCTTTTACTTTTATCCTCCATTCTAATTTATGTTATGTTTGCTGACGTGTTGTGACAGTAAACTTGAAGCTGTCCAGATGGCAATTTCCATGGCTAGATAGCAGGTCATATGCAAGTTTACTTTGTCTACTACATATTATTTTAATTCCATAGCACTTTACAATATTATAAGAGGAATAGAATAACTATAAATAGGACAATTACAAAAAACTTACAGGAATGATCAGTTGAAGAGGACCCTACTCAAACAAGCTTACACTCTATAGGAGGTGGGGTATAAAACAAAATAGGGCAGGAGATAGCAATCAAATAAGGTGGGAGTGAAGCAGAGCTGAAGG